AGAACAGAACAAATCATGAATCAAAACTGACACTGTTTGTGGGAATATCAGTATTTTGAATTTCAGTAAATATAGCTCCAACTTTCAAGTGTCTTGTTCTTAAGTTGTTACTGTAGTTAAGCAGTTAAAGTCCATGGTTTTTGATTTCTCAGAATATAAAGGCAGTGGAGTGGTAAGTTTTTCTGAACTGTTTTAGTTTGCTTTTGTCTTTCAGTGAATCACAGTTGTCAGTATTGAACTTTCTAGCTGGAAAAGCTTCTAGTACTGCAAGATTAGAAATGATTAAAGTTCATGGGAAGGGGTGTGGAGTGGCACTTGGGGAAGGGTGTAGGGTTAATTTGTGTCAAACCTGCCAGAAGGGTTAGCTCCCATTGAGTCTAGCGTATTGAAAAGCCAAGGACTTCAGAAGCTGAAATTATTCCCTTTTTGACAGCAAGCATCTTGCTTCTGTGACCCTATTCTTCCCTGATACTATTAATCTCAATTAGTCCCAGTATAGAAGAATTTGACATTGTTGTTCTGCTATTTTTACAGATGAGTATGTATAGTTTTGCATAAGTCTTACTAAAAGGTGGAACACTGGCTACTTCAGTGCAGTTATAAATCTAGTGTAGGTGCTTTTGTTTTGAAAACTCAAACACTATAAAGGCAAATACTGCCTTTACTGAAGTTAAGGGGAGTCTTATTTAAATTAAGGGGAGAATTCAATGCAGCCAGAATTTCACTCTCCATGTATATGGAGTATAAAGATATGGAGTATCAAATGAGCCAAATTATGATTTAATAAGCCTGCCTGTTGAATCATCAGTGTAAGGTAATGATGAGTAAAGGGCTTATTTTCTTTGAATTGTATCAAACAACTGCATAACGAGCAGAGTCCCCAGTATGGTGTCCTCTCCATGTGCTGCTGGCTTTCTTACTGAATTCAAAGACAGCCTTATTTATTCAGGCAACAGCTGGGCATTGTCAGTCTATGAACAACTACTTTATAACACTGCAGGTGTATGCAATCCACTGAAAGCTGGCACATTTCAAAGTGCATACTTAAAATATTCCTTAAATATTCTTTAAAATATCCTGTTTGTTTTTATAGGCTAGATTAGCTATCACAAAAGATACCAGGTGCTTTTGAAATTAAATTTAGGATCATCCTTCAGATACGAGTAACAAGGTAAATTATTCATTTGCCTTTCAAACCTAAATTTGCCTCTATCCTCACAAGAGCTATTTTGTTTTACTATTGTACCCTTATGCATGCTAGCATGAAATGAAGCTTAGATTTTTTTTTTAAATTATTATTATGACTTGAAAGATGGTAGAAAGCCTGAAGTAAAAAGAGTAACTACTATGGCCCTCACTTTAGAACATTTATTTATTTATTTTAAGAATCACCAGATGTTCAGTCACGTATAACCTATTGATTCATGTGGTGTTCAGCATTCTCTTCTTGGGTACTGAACCATGTAAGTGTAAGAACCTTAGTTATAATGCTTCTCACTGAAACTACTGCTGTCAGTTCTCTCTTAACAGTGAATGATTGGGTGATTTAAGTACCAAGGACTTCTGTAATGCATGAAAAAGTGGGACAAAGTGTTTCATCAAGTATAGAGTTTGGAGCATTGTGGGTTTTGTTTTGTTTTGTTTTGTAATGAACCTGAATCTCTGCCACTGAGACCAGTTACATTTGTTATTAAGATGGGAGGCTATGTTTTCATCAGTATTGCATTCTTCCCTGAAGCTGTTCACAAGTTAGGGTAGACCTTGGTCTGCTCCTTTTACCTTTTGGCTCCTTCCCTTCATTCAGCTCTTTATTTCTCAATTCTTTAAAAGGTGGCAATACATCACTTGGTTCTTTTTATAGGGCATACTTTCCAGAACTCTAGGGCAGTGGTTTTCAATCTTTTTTTCATTTGCAAACTACTAAAAAAATTCAAATGGAGGTGCGGAACCCCTCTGAATGGTTAAGTGTGGGTATTCACATACTTTTGATTGATCATGATCATCTTACGTGGACCCCCCCCCTTAGACATAATCTCCAGACCCCCAGGGGTCCACAGACCACAGATTGAAAGCCACTGCTCTAGGGCATCACAGATCTAGGAATCGCCAATCCTACATATGTTTCTCTATTTCTGTATAATGATCCATACTGACATCAAGACCCTTATGTAAGACTTTCCCTCTCCCCATACCCCTCTTCCCTCAACTATTTAGAAGGATGTTCAAAAGCAGACTTTTCCTACTAAGAGTATTGTACTTGGCTCAGCAGCTAGTTTAAGAATGAGGAGAGCCTAAACCAAGATATTACATATCCTTTCATCTTTAGTACAAGGACCATAGTAACAGCCTCCTGTATTCTAATGACTGTAAAAATTAGCAAAGAATAGCCAATTCACTACACATATTAAGACAAGCACGAAATTCCCTGAAATCCATGAGAGATTCCTATTTCTCTGCTGACCTAAAATTGCCCTTCTAATTCACAAAGTGTTCTTAGTTTGTCACATCATCTTAGGTTTTGCCACAATTTCTCCCTACTTCCAAGAGACTTCATGTTTTAGCTGCAGATGAGAGTATTTATACTGATGCTGTTCTGAATCCCTTTGCTGGGACAGCAGCCAAAAAAGGGAATAAAAAGCATCACTGAAAAATACCCTTTGCTAAAGATGCTGTGTGGTTATGTCCCTTTGGGTGGATGAAGGAATTAATTGTCATCAAGCTTGTAATTACCAACTAACAGGCAGTCATGGCAAAATAATGCTTTGTTAATTGAAATTTACTGAGAAAAAGAAACTTCTAAGTAATAATTGAAGACAAGCTACTAGTTATGTAGTTGTTTGTTGCTTCAGTACTATTCTATCCCAAAGAAGCATAGGTTTCTGTGAAGAATTCGTTCTTCCAAGGTAAGTGTTTTCTGTAAGAAGGCAGATGAATCTATTCAGACCCAAATACTGTCAAGTCATACCTCATTCTCTAGAAATGTATATGTCTGCATCAGAAAGATGCAGTTAACATGCACTCATAAGGGGAAAGGTGATTCTTCTCCTACATTGGAAAACTACTGTTCTGATGACCTACTCAACTATCTATAACCTTTCAACTTGGTGACTGTCATGACCAGACACCTTATCCTGTACTACAAACATTCCCTTAGATCTAGCTTTTCTTCATATTTCCACCTTATTTTGGAACATCTGTTCCAGTTTTAAAGAGCATGGCACATCCCAACAGCCACATATTAAAATCAGAACAAAGATGAAATCTGTTTTTGTACAATATACTAGCAATCTTCTGTCCTTTTTTTCAGGGGCCTTTTTTTTATAGGAAGGGTCTTATGCAGAAGGTGGAGTCTTTCTCCACCTGAAATAAACAGAATTTGTATTGTGTTAGCACAATTTTCTTTTACTCTAAATACTTCACCTCCCCATTCCCTTTCATCCTCCCTACAAAAAAAAACAAAACAACCAGCTGACAGGCCCATGTGTCTTCAAAAAGCATGACTGAACTCTGCAGCGGGCACAGGTCACAGACCAACAATGGGATTATGTTCCCAGGGACCTGTTCCTAGCATGCACAAACAAGCCAACCAAAGATGGTGGTGTAGGAAATGCTTTAATAATTCAGTGCTAAGCCCAGTTAATGTGTTTCACTAATCCCTGTGTACATGCCTCCCTCTTCCCCCCCCCCTTCTAAAAAAAATAAAAAAAGATGAGACAATGGTTGTCTTGGATACATAAGGGCTATTTGAACATTTGGTTCTTGAAGCTTCAGCTCTACTTGTCCTCTCCCTCCAGAGAATCAGTTTACCACACCTATCTATTATTCTCCCTACAGTTTGTGGCATAATTTATGGACACTGGTCAGTCTTGGAAAGATCCTGTGCAGCAGAGATGGATCAACCCTCAGGAAGAGGAAAGAAACAAATTTTCCTTGTGCATTCTATTCCAAAACAGAAAAGACTTAGGGTGGGGTATGTACAAGCCTTACCTCTAGATCTCCCTAACCAAGTTTAGGGCAATCTAAACAGCTGAGCCTGCAAGCATTGACTGGGCTTAAATTGCCATAAAATAGTGTGCCCAGTCTAAAGCTAGTTTATTTCTCAGGTGGACAATAGATCAGCATGGCTTTAACTGGACCTACTGTCTGCACACATTCACAGCACAGCCCTGGGTACAGGAAAGCACAGCCACTGGCCACAGCCCTAGGACTTGGCTGGTTTTTATTCCCCTCAACTCCCTCCCCCAGACCAGGCAGCCTGTCCTATGACTGAGGTACCTCTGGCTGCATGCAGCAGAACCTGAGTTTGGAGCAATCTGGAGCAAGCCACCTCACCTGACCATGAGTCATTTAAACGCTTGTCAGCGCTGTAAAGGTGCAGAGTGACTTCGGGGCTCTTGGCTACTTGCTATATTGGATTATTACTGTATAGGCTTCAGGTCTTCTCCCTTCTTCTGGGTGCAGCTAGTCATACCTGTCATCTACCCCTCTGTGACCAGTGTGAATTCACAGGTTCGATGGCTCAGTGCCTGGCATCTGACCAAGTGAGCTTGGGCTCAGAGAAGCTTCTCTCTCTGCTCCCAGCGGTCTGTAAGCAGTCAGTATGGGAGTCCCTGGGGAGATCTCCCTAAAAACATCATTAGCACCCACGTGCACCTCGACTTCTGCCTCGCTTCAGGCCCCGGCCGCGTCGCCCCCTCACAGCCAGGCCCCGGCGGCCCGGCCCCACGCCGCCTTCCGCCACTGGAAACACCGGCTCGGGGCGGCCCCAGCTCGCCAGTGCCAGCGCCGCCTCCGGCACGTGGCACGGGGGGTGGCGCTCCCTGGGGCGGGCCGCTCCACCGCCGCTGGTACAGGGCAGCTGGGGAGGCGGGAGACGCGTCGCGCGCGACCTACGCGCATTGCAACCCAGCCTCTCCGTCCCCGCGGGATGACGTGTCCCGAAGGGCCCAGCTCCCGCGGCGCGCAGCTGATGCGCCAGGCGGAAGTGAGGTCACGGCGGGGGCGGAGCGCGGCGAGGAAGCAGAGGGGCCGGAGTGTGAGGGGGAAACAAGTCGGCGGCGGCCGAAGGGAGGTGAGGGGCGGCGGCGAACTGGGAGCCTGGGACGGGCCGGAGGGTTCCGGCGGGCGCTGGGAAGCAGCCGCAGTCCCGGGTCCTATGGGCGGGTGGGGGCGGCTCTGGCCGAGGTCCAGTCTGGGAGACCCCTCCTCCCTCCCTCCCTCCCTGCGCCGGGTGTTCCTGCCTAGGCCGCTCGGGGGAGCCGCGCCCTCAGGCCTCCGGGAGCCGCTCCCACCCCCGTCTGGTTGAGAAATACCCTGGCGCCGCCCTCGCGGTCACTCCGGGGCCAGGACGCGCAGGGTGGTGTCGCCCTGCAGGCTCCTCGCCTCGCAGCCCCGGGGCCTGAGCGGTCACTTCCCAGCGCGGGGAGCCGGGTGTTCACCCGCCGGCTCCCCCTAGCCCCCTGTGCCCGCGCTACCAGGGCAGGGGGCGACCCAGGGGAGGCGGGTTGCTTTCTCACGGGCATGCTGCAGAATGACCCTACCGCGTCAGCCGGGAGACCTTACTGGGGAAAAGGAAGGAGGAAGGTTTCCTTCATTTCCTTCCTGTGGGTATTTGTGTAGCACTGGTTGCTGGCAGCCGTGGCAGGTGGCTTCCCTGAAGAGGTCACGGGTCTCTACAACGGTTGTATTCACAGAAGTGTCTGGTCCCTGCTTCTCCACTATGGCCCCCGGGCTCTGGGGGCCTTGAGATCCTTCCCAGGGTGCCGTGGGCTGCCACCCTGTTGGCACTGTTAGGTTTATAAGTATGATTCACAAGGCAAGCCCAGAGATTTCAAACCGGAAACCAGCGGGTTACCAGCAGTCTGCGCTGCTGTGGTCTTCCTGAGCTCCTTGCAACAGACGGATTTCTCCATTAACCACAAAAAGAGTGAAAGCTCAGAGGTGGCATTTTCCAAGAAGTGCCTCAAATCAGTCCTGCAGTGTCTTGAGTACCAAAAGTTGAGACCCACTGCCTTAACTACTGGTCAGCAGTAGTTTTTTTGCTGTCCAAGAGGAGAGACCCAGATCCACACTAAGATGTTGGTTTTGTATTCCGGTCCAGCCAGAGGCACTGGATTTCTCGAAGTGCTGCTTTGATGAGGTTCTGCAGATCTCTGCCTTTAATTACTGCTCATCTCAGGTATTACTTTGTAATAGTACTGTACTAAACCTTTTCAGAGCACTTCACAGAACCTGCTGTGTGGTCTGTTCTTCTAAAACTAGTTGATTCATAAGTAGGTGTTGTACCAGTACTTCCTTGGCATCCCTAACCACTTAGCTAGCCTATTAAACAAGGAATACTGTAAGAAAGTAACTTTTCTGGGAGGATGATTTTTTTTTTTT